AGGTATATAGAGTTCCAGTTTGAGTAACAGAATTACTTTCAAGGCAATAAATTACCCTTTCTTCTTAAAAACAAAGAACTTGATTTCGGGTTATATTTATAATTTTAGCTATCCATTACTAACAGTAAATTAAATACCCATAAAATAAAAAAAATCATAGCTAGCCTACTGAAGAATGTTTGTTTATTTTTGCTGAGAAATAATAGTTAAAACTTATTTGTACAATTTACGTTATTACTTAGAGACATTAATATTATCAATTAGAGGTAATGAAATTACATAATTATTCCTTATAGATACTTTGAATCTAATTACAATGTAGAGAAAATCCATTCATCTACAAATTAATATGAACAGCGCATAATAATTGTAGTTTTTTAAAAATACTAGATTGATATTTCATGATTATATTTCAGTTATGTTATAAAATTACTGTATAGGTTCTCAAATGTTTACTGTTAACATGTTAGTAAATCAAGTACAACGTAAAAGATAATAATTTTGTAAAGGTTGTAAACTTTTAGTGTTACCATGTTAGTGTATACCATGATATAAAGAATTAATAAGATTGCAAGACATTTATTGAAATATAAAATCAGTGTACTTACTGTTGAATTTCTATATGGACTGCTTTGAGGATTGTAGGGTGGCATAGGGCGTGGAGGCCATCCTGGCCCATAGCCCGCCGGGGGTTGTTCATAGCTGTTTGGGTAACGGTGTGGCGGCGCCCCGCTCGACTGTAATAGCGAGTTTAACGTCGGCGTGGGCCCTGGTGCTTGTGATACCGCTTGCCCAGGAAAGAAACGTGGTTGCTGCGGAGGTGGCCTTGGTTTACCGGGAAAACCAGGCCGCGCGTAATACGGATCTGCGGCTTCCGGGTATCTATACTGACCATACTGGTCCGTTAACGGCCGCTCTCCGGGCNGATGTGGCGGCGCCCCGCTCGACTGTAATAGCGAGTTTAACGTCGGCGTGGGCCCTGGTGCTTGTGATACCGCTTGCCCAGGAAAGAAACGTGGTTGCTGCGGAGGTGGCCTTGGTTTACCGGGAAAACCAGGCCGCGCGTAATACGGATCTGCGGCTTCCGGGTATCTATACTGACCATACTGGTCCGTTAACGGCCGCTCTCCGGGCCGATCGTGGCCGGGCGCCTCGCCACCGTCGCGTGGCGGGCCCGTTTCGGCCGACATAGGCGACTTGCTCTTTGTGTTCACGACGCCATCGGGCGGAACGCGCCCAATGGTCTTGTCGGTGCCGTTTTGTAATAGAGCGTTCCGAGATTCACTGAGCTGTTCCGGAGGATTTTGCTCAACGTTCGCTTCGCTTCGCTGGGACTCTGCCTGCGTCGCAGCCATGTTCGGCTGACAACGGCCGTCCCTGCTTACACTCGCTTTTGCGATCGACCGGCTCGCTTACGTTACATCGAAATCGGGCGTCGGATTCCAAAACCGCGACGTGGACACTTCCATCACTAAAATACTGATTAATTACGCACTGATTGTAATGAAAAACGTACTAAATATCGTTTGTCGACGAACACACATCGATCACATATCTACTTCATTGGCGTAAACGAGGTTAGGGAAAAGGTTACATATCTAGCAGGCGCTTTTGTCACGTCATAATACAACATTTCAATACACTTGCACGATTATCACACACCGTATACGTCCACATATAACGACGCGCATTCCTGGGTACGTAAACAGCCTGAATTACGAAAAACAGAACAATAGGTTCACAAAACTTCCAAATTATTAGCGTCCGCCATTACGGACTTCAATTTCTGCAGCGCTCGACGGCGCTTTTGACTATGTTCACTTCGGTTATAAATTGGAATTATTCAATTTTAATTTCAAATGGAATGGTGATACTATTTTACCAAATTTATTGATACGGATAGTTACAGAATAGATAAAATTATCAATTTAATGAATCATTATGATTCTATTCGTAGTATTATCAATACATGTTTACATTTTTGAGATCTACTGCGACCACGTAGTTAGGCAGGTGTACCAACATTAAAAAATTAACTCACTTCCCGTGGCGCCAATGCAATCGTATACAACTTCAGAACATTTAACCCGTATCTTTTATCTTATTAATATTTAAAGAAAATTGATGACATATTTAAAAAACCACCTTTAGATAAACCATAACATTTCTATTGTTGTATAGTATTATTGAAAGATTTTAGTATCGTATATTTACGAGAAAAACTCCGCTATTGCAACACCGACTTTGAATAGATCAGCACTTTTACCAACATACTTTGTAAATTTTTTGACATATTGTAAAACATAGATTATGCACAAGAGACCTCGCAAACCTACAGATTACATATGCATGTAATAACAAACTTAGATGCTCGGTACGCCCTAAAGGCAATAAGTCTTCGACTACATACCATTAAGTTGACTACATATTTTAATCTAGAAATCTGTTTACTACATGTGTTAAGCTCGATTTCTGGATGGTTTATTTTATTTTCATAATCATTAATGTATAAAATCTGCTCATGTTTTTTAAGTTAACTTAAAATGAAATGTTTACAAAAGTGAATAGTATAAGCAAGTCACTTGGTGTCCTTTTACCAACAAGTCGCGATTCAAATCCGGTGTAGGTTTATTCACAAAGCAACGGCCTTCAGTACCTTAGGCAGCTTATTATCGATATCTCTATTTCCTTCTAACTGCCTGAACCTTCGAGCTCGTTCATATGTTTGACGAAAACTAGCTATTATTTTCACACAACTATTACTTATTAAACGATTCATAGTCGTGTAAATATATGTAGTCGGACAAATAACAATATTAATTAGCACCAAACAATTCAAACGAAACATTCGGTCCACAGGATTGCGTATGTAGTTACTGTCGGCCACAAGAGGATTTTCGTGTCACGCCGCTTTCTCGAAATGGCGCACTGATGCCGACTGAATATACTGATGGAGTCTAACTCCATGTCAGCGTGAAGAACCAAGTTCCTTACGAATCACGGTGCTCCGACGGCTTTCCTACAAAAACGGGATTGGATGACTTGGATGTGTTTTAAACCAGTGCGGGCTGCGTAAGCGAACACTAGACTTGCATAGGTATGGTTCGATGAGCTCGGGTGGCAGATAAATACTATTTGCACGATTTACAGAAGACTCCATCACGCACCAGAAGCTACTTTAGGCGCAATTTACCACGTTTAAATATTATTATAGTTCAACATATGTAGTTAAAACTACAAAATAAAGTCAAACTGATTTTGTTAAGGCTTTCGCCGTTTGAGATTAATGAAGAACAATAAACGAGGAAAGTTCGTACATGTATGTAATTCTTTTTAAAAATTTGTACAGAATTTCTGTACTATGACGGTGATAACTGACATAAAAGGGCTCGTTCGGTTACGCTGGCATAGCCCTCTAAGGCTACCAGCATAGGTAGGAATAAAAAAAAGACATAAAAAAACAAGATTCGTACGCTTATATGATTAACGCTGTTCAATAGAACATCGATCTCCACGACAACCTGGACAGTAGAGTTCATCAATAAGTATTTACAGTTGGCAATAATGCGCCATTTCGATAAAGCGGCACGACACGAACCTTTCATCGTAGCCGCCGGTAGCTACATTCCGATCCTGCGGACCGAATGGTAAACAGTCAACGTCGCCCAAAACACGCCATCTCGGATCCTCCCGATCCACTAACGGTGCTTTTAGGTACCCCAAGTACCGGTCATCGTTCTCGTCGAACCCGTCGCTTGCGACGAAGGGCTCGGCGAGTAAATTAACCAACAGACACAGCCCACTGAGTTTCTCGCCGGATCTTCTCAGTGGGTCGCGTTCCCGATCCGGTGGTAGACTCTGCGAAGCACGGCTCTTGCTAGGGTTCGTGGTAGCAAGAACGTCAGGTTTTAGTCCCTTGAGCTCACCTACTGGCCCGGTGACGCTGATATGGTCTCTCAAGACTATCAGCTTCGGTAGGAAAAAAACAAAAAAAAAAGCTGTTCAAATCTTAAGAAAAAGTGTAGTCCATGCGTGTAACTGCATACGTAAAGTTTTTATGGTGTATATTAAAGAAAGATATGACCAGGACTAAAGTTAAACAATGCTTCGCAAATGCGGCACTACTTCAAAACAGTACAGTAGCGCCATCCTTATTTAGTACCATTTTAAAGACCCTCTTAACACGAATGAAGTAGAAAATGATGAGATCCATGCTTTATAAGAATTAACCAGTTATTAAAATATTAGTAATTTCCTAGATAAGCCGATTATCAAGCCGAAGAACTGCTGAATTTAAAGCATTTTTTAAAGCAATTGTAAAAATGCCGCCATAAAGCCTTACGGCCGGTACTTTTATTTTATTTGTTCGAATGGATAGACAAAGGGATCGCAACTCGTTAAGCCAAAAATGTTGTGCTAAGCCTGAAATTAATTTAAAGTTATCAGTGAGGTTGATTTGGAGTGAAGATGAATTAATTTGCGAAGAGAACATTTTATATCCTCTCAGTAAAATGGTGAGAGTAGAAAACACTAAAACTTCAATACAATATACTTTGGAACCGAGAAACCACATTCGGTCTTTCTTCCCCACAAGCCCTTTCAAAAATACTTAGCATCAATTAAATCACAAAAACTAGAGTAGAGTTTAACTGTCTAGTTACTAGACAGTTAAGCTCGAATTAACTAAATATTAACTAAATAGTTCGAATATTTTAAAATGGTTACTGTAACTAGAATTTCATATTTCATTTCAATGTGAAAAATGCATTGATTTTTATTCTTCTAAAATTTTGTAATGTAATTTAAAATATTTTTATTATTCTAAAAAAATTGCTTATATAATATTACGTCATAAAACGTATCCATTCTTTCATAGCATTAATTGGGTAACCATTTATATTAATTAATAAACGGTATCAAATAATTGCTCAGGTTAATAATTTAAAATATTTTTCGTAAATTTAAAATACAAATAAGATTGTTTTTTTCATATTATTTTATTTCCATGTCTTCACATACAAGATTTGTTAATTTGGTTGCAAAAATATTTGTTATCTCTACAAAATATTACAGGTTTAGACCAAATTTAAAATTATTGCATATTACTACTGTCAGTAATGTACAAACACAGTTATGTATTATGGTTATCAAATGAAAAACGAGTGTGATTTTCAATATGCATGAAATTAATCTTGAATAAGGACCGAAATAATCGGTCTATCAAACATATTTTTATAACTGTAGTTGAGCGAAACACTAAACTTATAAATGCCAAATATTCAACTCATTCCAATACAAGTTCTTTAATAAAAATAAAAAAAAAATCTATAAAAGTACAATATAAATTAATTATGGCATAAAAATTATATTTCACTATAAATCTCAAATTGAACCTAATTTAAGTACATAAACTCAAAGAGCTTTACAAAAAAAAAAAAAACATTCAAATGACACGCACAGATCTGGATAAAACTTTTAAGCTCGTTTACATTACAACTAGCGGAATTAGTATTTACAAATTCACAGTAACGCATTGTGCATTTAATAATTAAGTCGAAGGCAGTCACTATACAAGAAAAGCACCAGTACTCGGATAGGTTCAGTTATTGAACTGATGTGAAATTTCCGTGGCAGTCAACGTGTTAATATCTGCGAATCCCCTGTATTGTACACGACGTGACTTTTTGATTGGTAAATAAATAAATAAAAACAAACAAATATTGTATTATGCGACTTAAAACCAGTACTGGTATTCAGAGTGATACATAGTTTTTAATATCGGAGACATTTTACTATAGAAAATTACTCAAATTTCTTAAACTACTTTTCACACGATTCTCTCGAACGATATGCCACACTGCTATATCAATTTTAATACTGTTACAGTCAAAATGTTCCGTACGAAAATTTTTTGTAAGGCATTTAATTCTCTTAAAACAAAATCCCTTGAAATGTCTATCACCGTTAATGAATATTAAGCCTTGACTTCAACAAAAGACTAATATGGACGGAGATGGGGTAAGTGTTTTTGTATTACTGATGACGACATTTCAAAGAGCATGCATTGAAGTTGTGAATGAAAGTCAGGACCCGGAGACTCCCATCACTGTGTCCTGACAGTCTGTTCACAACTTATGTTTAATCTAAATTATTTATATTGTTCGTTAGTGTTAGACCATGAATCAGGAGGATCCGAACTCCGTCATCCAGGATAGGTATTTCTGTATGTCTCCCTTCGACACAGACTTGTTGCACTTGGCGAGGGCTTCGAGGAAGTCTTGCTTGGTGACGGGCAGGTCGAGCTCCTCTTTGGCAAGTTGTTTGATCTGCTCCGGTTTCAATCCGGCGATTTTACGTCGCATCGACATCATTGATGCGTCCCTATAAAACATAATTAACAATTAAAATAATGAAAGTTAGATTACATAGGTCTTATACATATCGACGCTTGAAAGGCAAACATGAATAAGTGACAATGCGTGAACTTTACAGAAGCCTAATTTAAAGTTGAAATACCTGAAAACAATTCTATTTTAACGAATCTAGCTATAGGATTGAAATTATTTTAATAGAACTAGAAATATACATTCTTTGCACATCAAATATGGTTATTGCCTGTCATTTATGTACAAAGCAGTTATTGTCACTTAGTCACGTTTGCCTTTCAAGCGTCGATATATTCCCAATAAAAAATAAAACCAATACAAATTGTGGTGACATTGAAAAGGTAAAATATAAAAAATCGATACAACTTTAAATTTTTAGTTCATTTAGTTTTTTTTTACCACAGTAGTATCTACTCATGTGATAACATTCAACAAAGTTATTAAATAATATTAATATATTTTTGACTTAAAAAAAAGGGAATGGTTAGATTGTGTTTTGAGTTGTTTTCTTTTTGGGTATTTTTGTTATCTTTTTTGGTTTTTGGTATTACGAGCACTGGGTGCACTCATTGTGTCGTTTATTAGGGCCATCGACAGAGAAATAGTCTTGTTAAAACTATAATTAGACCTTTATGGGATGATGGAATACCAGTTGATCTGTATGTGTTAGTATGTAGAATATATTTGTACATATTTTTTTTTTCACGTTAACTGGTCCCGTGATAAGTTCGTAAATAACTTGTGTTACAGGTACCAGATAACGGATATAAATGTAAGATTTTTATAATACACATACATACATTTAATATACATCCATAACCCTGGAAAAGACAAAGACATGAGACAAAGACATTTGTATTTATCATACAAATATCTTCCCTTGGCGGGATTCGAACCCGCGACCCCCTAGTGTAGTGACCATGTCACTTACCACTACACTAGACGGCCGTAACATAATAATATGTAACATATGAAGTCATAGGATGGCCAGGTTGTAGCATATTTGTATTTTATCATAAAACGACATGAGCTCTGTGTGTGACTTGTTTTAATGGCGGAAGTAGTCTGGCTGCATTGCCATAGATCACATTCTTTACCTAACACTATAGTATTTATTAAGGCAGATTTACACAGCGTTGCCTAAGTTAGGTCATTGAGCATTATAAAATAATACCAGTGTTAGTTCAAGTAGTTAATTATCTTTATGCTTAATTTAATCAAAATTCGTTCATGCATTTTTGCGGGATTGGCTACGAAAAAAAAAAACCATAAATAATTCTAAATACTGTTGTAAAACTGGGGTACTTTGCTCCAATGGTGCGCAAAGAGATCCAAACAAACAAAACTATTCTATTCTTTTCAGCCGTTTAGACTCTCCAAATTAGTTTTTTTTTATATTTTGTTTTTATTGCATAGATGGGTGGACGAGCTCACAGCTTAATTTGTATTAAGTGGTCACTGAAGCCCATAGACATCTACAACGTAAATGCCGCCACCTACGCTGGGACATGAGCTCTAAGGTCTCAATATACTTACAACGGCTGACCCACCCTTCAAAACGAAACGCATTACTGCTTCACGGTAGAAATAGGTCAAGTAGGGTCACGTCTCACTAATGTTGCCAGAACTAGGGCTACTATTGGGAAAATTCCGTTTTATGCTACTAACAATAATTACGAACAGCGGATATATAAACACTATTGAAACTGTACAAACCTGCAAACGTTAGTAATGTCAGCACCGGAGTAGCCGTCCAGTTTCTTGGCTATGGCCCTCAGGTCGACCTCGGGGTCCACCTTGACCTCTCTCAAGTTTATATGCAGTAACGCTTCCCTTCCTTCCTGGGTGGGCAGCGGGATGTATATACGCTTCTCTAATCTCCTTCTAAGCGCCTCGTCTATGTCCCATGGGAAATTCGTTGCTGCTAACACCATTACTACCTGTTAAAAGACAAAAAAAATACGTCAATACATTAATAAACATCTACGAATCTAGATTAGCTCATTATAAAAATTAGTACTACTGTCTAGAAGTGAGTTACTACGTTGCGGCTAAAATGACTCGATTTTTAGCGGAATGAAAAGTGTGATTTTTAATACTCTTTTATTAGCTACGTCTGACGACGTACCACGACCACCCTACTTATTTCTGCTGTGAAGCAGTAATGCGTTTCGGGTGGAGTAGCCTGTATCTATACTGAGACCTTAGAGCTCATATATCAAGGTGGAGGCGGCATTTACGTTATAGATGTCTATGGGCTGCGGTAACCACTTAACACTAGGTGGGCTATGAGCTCGTCCAATCATCTATGCAATAAAAAGATTTGAATAACCCGAAAAATTACTGGAATGAATTATCAAAGAAAATGGTTATCAAAACTTAAAATTAAATCAGCATTATAATGAAAGGTAATTAATACGCTTTTATTAGCTTCAGACGTATGTATGTATGTATATTTGTAACGGAATCTTTGAACATGATTTTGACCCCCTTTAAAACGTCGGATTAACTAGAAATTTGATATACTTATTAAGGACCGATGACAATACAAAAATAACAAAAAAATAAAATAAAATAAAAATTGAATAAAATTGAAATTCAACTAAAAATGAAAAATAAGCAATAGTTTAAAAAAAACTAACAAAATACGCTTTTATAGAAGATCCAACTAAAAAATATAAAATAAATTTTAATAAATTTGAATTAAAAATAGTGCAAGGTAAAAGGATTTTATTGCAAAAAAAGCGTGGGGGCATGGTATCAGTAGTTCTAAATATTTTATGAACAGATATGAGTAGAAGGGTTATTTTGATAATATCCTGAAAAGCAACCGACGCATTTTTACTATAAAATTATTTTTTCTTACACTATTTTTAATTCAAATTGATTATTTTTTTTTATTTTTTTTATTTGGATTTTCTATAAGAGCATATTTTGTTAGTTTTTTTAAACTATAATATTATTTATATTTGAATAGATCTATATTGCCACTTTGCTGTTTCTTTTAGTTTAAACGTGTAATAATAGGCATATTTCGAAACGAGTTTTAGGTTATACTACATTTATCTCAGCAAGCACCTTCATTTCAGATCCATTCCGTTTCACTTTTCGCTCGACGGACACGTCTGCGGCCTTTATATTATGTTATGGCTGCACGGGTTACGTTCCCTTTGCACTGGCTTGGCAGTTGACAGAACGGATGTCATACCTTGGCGGGTTCATCAGTGGCGGACCCAAGTCCGTCCATTTGCACGAGCAGCTCCGACTTGACGCGGCGCGAGGCCTCGTGTTCGCTGTCCGAGCCGCGCCTCGAGCACAACGAGTCTATCTCGTCTATGAATATCGTGCTCGGAGCGTAGAACCGCGCCTGTAATAACGATACAGATCTATATATGTATATGTAAACTAGCGACCCGCAATCGCTTCGCTTCGGAAACTGTAATTTATTATTGATTTCTCCATTATTTAATGGATGTTATTATACATATAAGCCTTCCTCTTCAATCACTCTATCTATTAAAAAAAACCGCATCAAAACCCGTTGCATAGTTTTAAAGATTTAAGCATACATAGGGACAGACAGATATAGGGACAGAGAAAGCGACTTTATTCGTCAGTCTCGCTGAAACTCGAGAACGGCTGGACCGACTTGGCTAATTTTGGTGTTGAATTATTTGTAGGAGTCCAGAGAAGCTTTAAAAGGTAGATAAATATGAAAATGCTCGGAATATAAATAAAAATAACAATTTTGTTTTTCCTTTGAAGTGTCCCCCGTCGGACGGATTCCTTTTGTTTGTTTTAAGTTTATTTTACACAAAAGTTTAGCTCTTTTATTTATCGATTGAGGTACTACGAAGTCTGCCGGGTCAGCTAGTGTACAATAAAAGTTTAGGTCTTTTATTTATCGATTGAGGCACTACGAAGTCTGCCGGGTCAGCTAGTACCCTAATAAAAAGAGAGAAAAAAAACAAGTGTATGTAATTAGGATTATGACGTCACTAAATCACGAGCGAGCGAGATAGCAAGATGTCGAACGAACCCATCTTTGCTTAAGCTCATGTTCTATACTGGATTAATTAATTGAGAAATGTAAGCTAGAGATGTAATCGTTTATTGCAAAATAAAATACACTGTCTTAATTAGAAGTAACATATTTTATTTTACAACTCTATATCATGAGTAGATAAAATGTAGATGCGACATTTAATATTTGATACAGAATATTACAAAGATTAAGCATTTGATAGTTATGTGCCTACGACACAACCATGTTAATTCGGTTGTAGCGTTGCTTTACAATCAATTATCAGGGTTTATTAACCGTAATATTTACTTTGTATTGTTAGTGTAATAATATACAAAGTGATACATCGGGAAAGAAATTGAGATGGATGGTAAGGCTGATCTCTAAAAGGATTTTGTTCCTAATCTTCTATAAGTTCTAATAGTTATTTAGTTTTATTTTACACAGAAAATTCAATTCTGGGATATAGAAAAACGTTTCAAACTTACTTTTACTCGTAAACCGACTTTAGCAAATTGACGTCATTGTACTATATAGTGTACAATGGGATCTCGAACGTGAATTTAAACATTAAAAGCTCTCTTATTTTCGAAAATATTTTGTTTGGATTTCATCATTCATCTTTATTACGGGTCCGTTTCTTATGAGGTGCTTAAAAGCATTCAGTCAAGATTCCAGTATAATACTCGATCATGGATGATAAAAGTTTTATCTGACAATATTAGTAATACGATAATTAGGTTTTTTTTAAATGATTCTATGTTTACTGGTAGCCCGGAGGCTTTTCCAGTTTCACCGGGACAGGTGGGCGAGCAAAGGCTCAGCCGGGAGGGGTGGGATTTGCTAACAGCTACCCGAGCGCCTCTGAAGGAGACCTAACTCGAGAGCAGCTGCTTCGTGGATGAGGGTAATTAGGTGCTCACCATTTCAAACAGCAACCGGACTAGCTTCTCAGACTCCCCTCTGTACTTGGAGGTCAGGGTGGAGGAAGAGACGTTGAAAAACGTCGTCCCGCATTCGGTGGCGACGGCCTTCGCTAGCATCGTCTTGCCGGTACCGGGGGGACCCACCATCAGAACTCCCTTCCACGGCCGACGGATGCCCTGGAAATCAAAAATTCTTGTTCAGATATGGCACTAAATCTTATATGTACAATATATATAAAAATGAATTGCTGTTCATTAGTCTCGCTAAAACTCGAGAACGGCTGGACCGATTTGGCTAATTTTGGTCTTGAATTATTTGTAGAAGTCCAGAGAAGGTTTAAAAGGTAAATAAATATGAAAATGCTCGGAATTAAATAAAGTTTAGGTCTTTTATTTATCGATTGAGGCACTACCAAATCTGCAGAGTCAGCTAATGTACAATAAAAGCTCAACTTTGAAAATGTTGTCTTGTTATGAAAAATTAATATCACTTTTGATTATTTAAAAAAAAATCTGTACAACAAAAAATATGTCTATCTCTCTTGGATTTAAGGGACCACATTAAAAATTGTTGTATTATTTAAATAAAATGATGTTNTTTTATTTATCGATTGAGGCACTACCAAATCTGCAGAGTCAGCTAATGTACAATAAAAGCTCAACTTTGAAAATGTTGTCTTGTTATGAAAAATTAATATCACTTTTGATTATTTAAAAAAAAATCTGTACAACAAAAAATATGTCTATCTCTCTTGGATTTAAGGGACCACATTAAAAATTGTTGTATTATTTAAATAAAATGATGTTAATGTTTCAGGAAGCATATTGTACAATATAATAAATAACATACTAATTTACATAAATTTATGCATGTAAAAAATTTTTTAAAACTTATATTTTATTTAATTTAAAGACAATGTCTTTATGTATTCTGTGATAATTGAAACATATGTATATGTATTACGTGAATTGCATTAGGCAATAAATAGGCATACTTTAAAGAAATCCGGCATCCACATTGGCAGCACGACCGCCTCTTCCAACAGTCGCTTCGCTTCCGTTAAATCGGCTATGTCGTCCCATCTTATATTAGGATTCTTTTGTACTATATCTCTTTCTGAAATGAACAAAAATAAAAACTATAAAATGTTAACCTTTTTATATAATAATATATCGACGCTTGAAAGGCAAACGTGACTAATCGACAATAACTGCTTTGTACATAAATGATAGGCAATATCCATATTCGATGCGCAAAAAACAATATACTTTTAGGTCTATTAAAATCATTTCAATTCTACAGCTACTAGTTAGAATCTACTATAGGTCGATTCGTTAAAATAAATTTTGTTTTCAGGTATTTCAACTTTAAATTAGTCTACTGTAAAGTTAGTCACGTTTGCCTTTCAAGCGTCGATTTTTTTTAATGGCTTATATGGGTGGACGAGCTCACAGTCCACCTGGTGTTAGGTGGTTACTGGAGCCCATAGACACCTACAACGTAAATGCGCCACCCACCCTTGAGATATAAGTTCTAAGGTCTCAGTATAGTTACAATATAGCCTCCTGCATATCCACCTTTACCACATCCAAACAGTGTATCTTGGGCCTATTGCGGGCTCTTGTTCCTGGTATATAGATTTTGAGGCATCTATTTCATGCATATTCTGGAGGCTTGCAGCTTATGTTCACTATGCGATTATAAATAGAAGCCAAGGTGAATCCTCGCCATTTTCTGCTGTTTATCGATTTACTTGCACTTTGTTCCTTAGAACCAGGCTTTCCTCTGAACCCTCGACTAGAATCGAAAGGCAGGTAGCAGAGTCAAGATTCGTCAATACTGAGGGTCGTGACCATCTCCTCGCAACAAGATACTATTTTGGATCATTCTACGCCATTTGCTCCTATCTGCCGCCAAGTTTACAGCATCGTGAATTGTGGTGTCGAGAGTAGTGCGAATCTGGTGAGCCCAATGTATCGGGCTTTTATCTCGTGGTCTTCATCCGTCCAATTTGCCAGTCACCATTAGCTTCTCCAATTAGCCGTCATCCTTTCTAGAAATGTGGCCAAAGTATTCCAGAACTCTACGTAGGCAGATGGTAGAAAGCCTGTTACTAAACTCCTTAAAGAATTAATTAGGTTAACTATTAACTCACCCAACATATCGACTAAGTCCCCATCTGCGGCACTGGGAGGCTCAAACTTCCGTTCTTCGTCCTTGTGCTTCTCGTCATCCGTATCGCCATTGTTATTGTCCCTGTCCTGCTTCTCCTTGCCAGAGCTATGCTCTTTGTTACTACTAGTGTCTTTCGTTTTAGCTGCCAAACAAAGATTTACCGAAAACTGAGCTAAAAATATTGAATGAGTTGAATTGAACCAAAAACACCCGGTTAACAGGAAATTAGGCCATAAAAAATCTATAGTCTTTTTTGTATGTGAACATTTTCAAGTTTATCGGACGTATTGAGGTTAGTGAAAATTACGATGATAGATATGCATTGGAGACATAACGTCACTGGGATGATCTTCCACCGAGCGGGTGAGATTGTTCGGCAGACCGACGGTCCGAACATTTTTGTTTGGGACTTGTATATATGCAAGCTTATCTTGAAAATGTCTTTAACTGTCAAATATCTGATCAACCTAATAATAAATAAGTAGTCATGGGGAAAATCACAATCCTATGGACGGAAATTAGGTGCATGATATACATATTATTATGTAGTCGAATATGTTTTAAATACCCACAAACATACAGATATTTAACACCGAAAGAGCCAACCATATTCGTCACTTAGATGTGGACGGACATGTGTCGGTGGCGTTAAAAGGGGCGTTATAAATTCTTCTTCTTTGCTTCTACCTTATCCCACTAGAATTTTTCTATTCGATTCTCTTCTATCAGCCGTCACCTCAACACTCACTCCTCTCACTTTCATATTCACACACTCCATCCATGTCTTCTTCCTTCCTACCTTGCACCTAAATTAAAAAACACAAATGGCCAACTACGCACCACTATGTGCCTTGTTGGCGGCTATTCTAGGATTCCTGACGTCGGAGGTCTTCCGTTGCGAGGTTGTAGCGTTCCTGGGGGCGGGCGTTGTCTTCTTGATATCAGTGCGGGGGTTGCGCGAGTTATTTCGCGCCGACTTCATGGCGGGCGGACCTCTGTGGAACGAATCTACGTATCAAAATCCTACCTAATGCTTTCGTGGCGGGTTTTTGACGACCAACAGTTTTTATTTTTTTTATTGCTTAGTTGGGTGGACGAGCTCACAGTCTACCTGGTGTTAAGTGGTTACTGGAGCCCATAGACATCTACAACGTAAATGCGCCACCCACCTTGAGGTGTAAGTTCTAAATTCTCTGTTTAGTTACAACGGCTGCCGTACCCTTCAAGCCGAAACGCATTGCTGCTTCACGGCAGAAATAGGCGGGGTGGTGGTACCTACCCGTGCGGACTCACAAGAGGTCCAAAAAAAAAACTCCAGTTTTGTTTTCTTTATACCTCGAATAGAACTTAAAATTAATATTTTTATAATAAGGAACTTCGTTCCTATCCGGTGTCCTACGACACCACACATCTTTTTTTATTTGACGTTGAGCTTAGGTCAGCTGGAAAGAAAGCTGTGAGATTTTCGAGTCGGACTTACTTATGCTCAACATTGGTGGGAGGGGGCCACGCGTTCGGATCTCTGTCAGGTGGCGGGGGCCAGATATCTGGATCCAGTTCATGGGGGGCCGGCGCCCACATGTCTCTCGTGGGAAGGTCTTCGTAATCTGAAAATTGGAAACATTCGCCCCGCCTTAGTAAGTAGACTTAGCTAATTCAAACCGTAAAACGCTATAAATGTATATTGATACACCTCATCCTATCCATATGTGTAGACATGAATACATTTGTAGTCTGAAAATTGAAATCGTTTCGCTATTGTCTCAGATATAATCGTATGTTTCTATTCTGTTTATGTTTCTGTAATGGTGGTAGGACCTCTTGTGAGTTCCCACAGGTAGGTACCACCATTCCGTCTATTTTTGCCGTGAAGCAGTAATGCGTTTCAGTTTGAAGATTGGGGAAGCCGTTGTAACTATACTGAGACCTTAGAACTTATATCTCAATGTGGGTGGCGCCGTTGTAGATGTCTATGGACTCCAGTGACCACTTAACACCAGGTTGGCTGTGAGCTCGTCCATCCATATAAGTAATTAAAAAAAATCTGTATTTGATTCACACACATTGAAACATTATCTTTTATTATATCTACTACAATGAATATGCTTTTGCATTTAGTTCGTGTGCAATAAAAATGAAAACCGCAACTGTATAAATTTTGCTAAATTATTCCGGGATGAAGCGTATTTTATTTAAGTCCGCCAGGGCAGGTAATGCAATCCTGCATTTTTCTGTCGCATAGCACAAGCTTGCATTCGAGTCTGTGATGTTGTGAACGCCGTTGTATTTTACAATTACTGATTACGAATACACGATAAGCGCTCTGAGTTGTGTGCAATAGAATATTCATTATTTCCAATGTAATTGATACTTCAGTCGCGTGTGTCCAGATGAGCGGACATCATCGAATATGGGCTCCATTAACCCTTCGAGTGCCGTGTAGGTCACCAGTGCCCTACGCGAAGCAATCATGTCGTCTTCTGTTAATAAGGCGCCGGAATATCTACTAGACTCTGGCAATGAATAATCCGAAGATACTGAGAATGAATCTATTTCTAAGTGACCTAAAAGACTGAAACATACAGTAACAAAAAAAAGCAAAGTTAGGCAGTCCAGGCGCTTTAGTAACAGAAGACGACGTAATTACTGTCTGTTTTTTTTTTGTTCCTACCTAAGCTGATAGCCTTGAGAGGCTATATCAGCGTCGCCTTAACTAGTAGGTGAGCTCACGGGGCTCAAAACTGATGACGTTGCAAACACGAACCCTAGCAAGAGCCGTGCTTCGCAGAATCTACCACCGGATCGGAAACGCGACCCACTGAGAAGATCCGGCGAGAAACTCAGTGGNAAGTTTGAAGGTCTGTTTTTTTTTTGTTCCTACCTAAGCTGATAGCCTTGAGAGGCTATATCAGCGTCGCCTTAACTAGTAGGTGAGCTCACGGGGCTCAAAACTGATGACGTTGCAAACACGAACCCTAGCAAGAGCCGTGCTTCGCAGAATCTACCACCGGATCGGAAACGCGACCCACTGAGAAGATCCGGCGAGAAACTCAGTGGGCTGTGTCTGAGGGAGAAGGTTTAGAAAGCCTCTGTACACTATACAATTGAAATTCAAACCCCATGTCTCAAGATTAGTGCCGGCTTCCATTTTGTGGGGTGTCTATGGGCTTGGCGGAAACTTCAGGCGTACCCTGAATTCATTCAACCATCAACCATTTAGAGACGAACCTCCTAGCAATCCATTAACCGTACTGGTGTCGGGTCCATCGTGTTGCAGAGCGAGAAATTTATGCGAAGATTGCCAGGGGACTTGCGACCCTGATGTAGGTTTAAAGGTCCCCTACCAATGTTCGTTACGCTGACCTCCATTCTCCGTGATCCTCTCCCTGTCTAACAAAATTTTAATAAGAACCTACTAGTGCGGCCTTGACCTTGGCTTGTCAAGAACTCCCGTAAATTCTTCAGAAGTTTTTGACAAGGTCTTCTTCAAGGTTTTTTAGTAAGTTTAAAGAAATTTCGCTGGTACACCTGTCGCTTCCACTGCGACAGCTTATAAATTAACCACGTATCGTTAGCTTGTTCGTAAGATCAATACTATTTCTTTCTCTCTTTCTTTTCTTTTTACCATATGGTTTTTAGATATGTTTGTACCGTAAATAATAAATAAACAAATAATATGAAAATAAAAGGTTTAGAAGATTCAAATGTTCACAGCGTGAAACGAAACGCATTTGCAAATTTTTTATATTATCTGGCTCAGGGCACGGGTGACCTACATGGAAAACAAAGGCTTAATCGACTGACATCTTAAGCATACATGAACTAGACCAGGACTTTTCAATACGCAACTTTTATGTCCCGGAGAACATAATTAAAAATCGGGTGTTACAAAAAATAGAAAATGAAATTCTAAATTCGGGTTGCAATTTAAAAAAAAAACGTACGAAATCTATGCTGATNCTATGACATGTCCTTCTTCAAACGAGGCTTGTGGAGAGTATTAAGCGGTAGGCAGCGGCTTGGCTCTGCCCCTGGCATTGCTGAAGTCCATGGGCGACGGTAACCACTCACCATCAGGTGGGCCGTATGCTCGTCTGCCTACAAGGGCAATAAAAATAAAAAAAAAAAACGCATTTGCTAATTTTTTATATTATCTGTGCATTTTCACTCACTCACTACTTTGGCGCCTTTTTATAAATTTTCAAATATTATTGTCGGACTAAAAATATATAACATCGTTTCCACAAACCGACTTTTTTAATTTTTTTATATCACTTATGGGAAATATTATTTGTCGCGGGAGGTTTTATTTTAATATTATTATTTGGATTAATATCCAAAGTAAAAGTTTCTGGATTTCAGAAATCGAGTAGCAAGAGATCAAGTCTTTGTCTATTTCAAGGATGTAAAGTCGAGAATTGTTCTATAAAAAATATATACACGGCATGTACTAGCGGACTAAATATTGTTATTTATAGATACCAAGAAAAACAATCAGCATAGATTTCGTACGTTTTTTTTTTAAATTGCAACCCGAATTTAGAATTTCATTTTCTATTTTTTGTAACACCCGATTTTTAATTATGTTCTCCGGGACATAAAAGTTGCGTATTGAAAAGTCCTGGTCTAGTTCATGTATGCTTAAGATGTCAGTCGATTAAGCCTTTGTTTTCCATGTAGGTCACCCGTGCCCTGAGCCAGATAATATAAAAAATTTGCAAATGCGTTTCGTTTCACGCTGTGAACATTTGAATCTTCTAAACCTTTTATTTTCATATTATTTGTTTATTTATTATTTACGGTACAAACATATCTAAAAACCATATGGTAAAAAGAAAAGAAAGAGAGAAAGAAATAGTATTGATCTTACGAACAAGCTAACGATACGTGGTTAATTTATAAGCTGTCGCAGTGGAAGCGACAGGTGTACCAGCGAAATTTCTTTAAACTTACTAAAAAACCTTGAAGAAGACCTTGTCAAAAACTTCTGAAGAATTTACGGGAGTTCTTGACAAGCCAAGGTCAAGGCCGCACTAGTAGGTTCTTATTAAAATTTTGTTAGACAGGGAGAGGATCACGGAGAATGGAGGTCAGCGTAACGAACATTGGTAGGGGACCTTTAAACCTACATCAGGGTCGCAAGTCCCCTGGCAATCTTCGCATAAATTTCTCGCTCTGCAACACGATGGACCCGACACCAGTACGGTTAATGGATTGCTAGGAGGTTCGTCTCTAAATGGTTGATGGTTGAATGAATTCAGGGTACGCCTGAAGTTTCCGCCAAGCCCATAGACACCCCACAAAATGGAAGCCGGCACTAATCTTGAGACATGGGGTTTGAATTTCAATTGTATAGTGTACAGAGGCTTTCTAAACCTTCTCCCTCAGACACAGCCCACTGAGTTTCTCGCCGGATCTTCTCAGTGGGTCGCGTTTCCGATCCGGTGGTAGATTCTGCGAAGCACGGCTCTTGCTAGGGTTCGTGTTTGCAACGTCATCAGTTTTGAGCCCCGTGAGCTCACCTACTAGTTAAGGCGACGCTGATATAGCCTCTCAAGGCTATCAGCTTAGGTAGGAACAAAAAAAAAACAGACCTTCAAACTTCCTGTGTTTTACGGCAGAAGTAGGCCGATCTGTGGTGGCCACTCGTGCGCCGTCCTACCACCAGTACGTCTACTTATGTAAATTGATTTAAAAAGGTTAGGCATAGATTTGTTACGCAACTGATTCAAAGTAATGTTTTTCTTATATAAATTAGCATATACGTTATACACCCACATAAGTCCTTCGACGTTGAAGTGACTTCCTGTAAACATAGCACCGTAACAATATGTAGGTATATATGTATATATTAATTAAACTCAAACGATCGATAAATTGTTGTTTAATGTTGTGCTAATTGAAAATAGCGTTGGTTTTATCTGATCACGTTACGCACGATTGTGACGTGACTCTAGTCAAGTTAAGCGTGCTCTGCGTGCGTTGTAATGTAGGTAATGAAAAATCATCATTAGCAGTGGGAATGTCTTTATGCATTTTCGAATTTAAATACACGATTGATAGCACGATAAAGACCTAGTAGATTCTTTGCGTTTTTCTTACTATACATAAAAAGAAACCACCAAATCTGTTTTTTTTCGTTCTACCTAAGCTGGCAGCCTTGAGAGGCTATGCCAGCGTAACCGAACGAATAGGTGAGCTCACGAGGCTCTAACCTAAGGAGGTTGCACTAGCCCTAGCCAGAGCAGTGCTTCGCAGAATCTACCACCGGATCGGAAACGCGTCCCACTAAGAAAATCCGGGGCGAGACACTCGGCGGGTTGAGTAACTGTATTACTACCATATGTTTAGACTATATGCGATATCCCATCTTTTCTTAGGATCCTTTTATCTTTCCTTCCTATCCTTATTAACATTCGTGGCACACGATACGGCGCTTCGGAGAAGTGAACCGTGACCGTTATAAAAACGGTCTAGACATTGTTAATATTGAGACTGCACATTATGCTCATTAAAAATAACGTCTTAAGGGGGTCAAACCGGCTGTTGAATTTCGCCGCACGATGTCCGCGTGGGCTGTGTAGGTCTGATGAAATGAATTCAAGAC